CAAGGGGCTTGAGTTAGATAAAAGATATCCATGTGGTTGTACTATGGTGGCTTTATCATCTTAAAACTAATACTGAAAATTTACAGGATATTGCATAATGTAGCAATAAAGTACAACCTCTCCCTAAAATCACAAGGTCAGCAATTATTTTCACACCCATAAGTTGCTGCTGCACCCATTCATAAGGCAAACATATATTTGTTGCATCTGTTTCAATGAGCGATTCAATCTTTTGTGTATATATTGTCCTGACCCAGGGGTGGGCAATTATTTTGGGCAGAGGGCTGCTTACTGAGTTTCGGCAAGCCATGAAGGACTGCATGACAGGCAGCCCAGGGCAGATTAATATTAATTTTCTAAGTGTTTTAGGGGCCCCGCGGGCTGGATAGAATGGCCTGGCAGGGCCCGTCTGGCCCCCGGGCCGCATTTTGCCCACCCCTGCTAACAGCTGTGACATTATTCCCTGTGCCTTGTGACATGGAGAGGGCTATCCTGAACTAGCTTCCATGGTGTAGAAACCCTTTTACTGCTATTTGGCACTGAATACAAAGCCTGAGAGTATGGATCCATATCTGTAAGGCTAGTGGGGGAAGCAGAGTTAACTTTATCCCATATATTCATTTTTTCAACTTTCCAAAGCTGAGCCCTCTTTCAGGAAAATTAAACTAATCACAGATAACTGATTAATTTGAATTTCCCACTCCCACTTCATCCCTCCCAAACAAAATGGGAGGGATAAAGAAATTGACTATAGAAATGACTCTACTAAGTTTCACACTTCAGCCATTTTTGTTCTAACTTGGACGGGGGTAAAACAAAGTAAAATAAGAATTTTTAAAAACTCAGCATATTTTTTAAATTCTCATACTCACCAACAGCTGAAGGGAATTTGCACAAAGTCGTCATAAAAATGTACTATTTGACCTGATGTTTCCCATAACCTGGTAAAACTTTCTAGAAAGTTTTCAGGAGGCAAAAATAGTAAAATGGCTTCCTAGGTGAATGACTATGTCATGTCTATATTTCTTCATAGGCAAATAATCCACCATATTAGTATATTAATACAAATGTAAACACCATTACCTCATTTTTTCTAACAGCATGCACTAGATGGAAGATAGCTATTCACATTATTTGTAGCATGTGTGTGATGGCAGGTGAGCTTCATTTCAGTATTCATGAGTGAATTCAGTGAGTTTATTTCAGGTTATATTAATGGGCAAAAATAGGAACAATAAGAGGTTTACTGAGATAAATGCAAGATTGCCTTTCCAGTAAGGATTGTGAGATTATTTTCTCACAACTTGGAGAAAAAAAAACAACTTTTGGAACTAATGCTTTTCCATTAAAATCTGAGATGGATTTGCCATTCCTGCTTTCAACAGAGCAGGAACAGTTCCTGTTTCTGTTTGCTTTGACCTGCAGCTCAACCCTACCCTTGCTGCTCTGCCATGTACAATCTGGCCAAGAGCTGGGGAGGGGTTTGTTGGTAGTATTCAATGCTTTTCCTTAACCATCTAGGAAGATGGAACATGTAACATTTTCTGAAAGTACCTGAAGTCCCATTTTCAAAAGTGACTTAGGTACTTGGGCATGATCCAGAGCTCTGTCAAGTGAATGGAAACATTTCTGTTTCCATCCAGTTCAGTAACCTTCAAAGTTATAATTGAAAATAGAAGATAAGTTCCTAAGTGACTTAGGCATGTTATAAAATTATTCTCTGTACCAGGAAATGCTCCCCTACCCAGCCTTAGACTGAGCACAGCACTTGCATCTTCCAATGATTCAGAGTGAAATGCATTAGCAAATGGGAGGAAGGCCTTGTTAGGGCAATTGCCTGGATCTTGGGATACCACAGTTCAAATCCCTGCTCTGTTTCAGCCTTCCTATGACCTTGGATGATGAGTTATACAACCTCTTTTCTTCTCCATTTCTTCCCTATACAATAGCACCATCCCATGTCCCAGCGGTGTTGAGGAAAAAATACATTAAGGAGTCTGATTGTGCTCAGACACTACAATAAAGGGGGCCATGAATGCTCTTAACACAGGCAGGCAGCTATAGACAAAGCAGCTTTTTCTCTCTCCCTCTTACTGTTATTATAAACGCACACTGTGCAAGGTTCACTAAAAACAATACCTCTATAAATGAACCTCTGAAACATTACTTTGGCTTTGTGGTGACTCTTAACCCTTCCACAGGCAACAGGTCTCTAATTATGCACCATAGTTATTTTCAGAAGTTTCCATTTCTAATCAACACATGGTCTAGGCAACACACACCTATAAGGTGAGTGATAATTTTTCCACCTCTAATAAAACCCATTTGAGAAAGTGTGACCAATTCAGAGAAAATATAGTTTTCTACTATAGGATATAGGAAGTCCCTTTTACTTTAGGCACTCAAAACATTACCCTACAACACTAATAAAGAGCTGGAAGAGACTGTACTTAAGGATAGGAAGCATGCAAATACATCGTTCTATAAAGCCTTTCTCTTTATCAGGTCTGGGCATGTCTACACATTCATTAATGCACCATAATTATGGCACATTAAGTTTAGTACCTGTAATGACACGTACTAACTTAATGAGCCATAATCGATGCTACTGCGCATTAGGAGTAGCACTACCATGTTAACGCGCAGCAGAATTAGTCTACTTGCACTCGAAGCATCTTGTGTAGATGTGCCCTTTGTTAGGGAAAATGAGGCCTGAAAGATTAGACAAATACCTGTCAGGGGTTGTCTAGATATCCTTTTCAACCTCAGTGAGGGTGATGGACTAGATGACCTCCTGAGATTCCTTCCAATTCTACATTTCAGTGATAGAACGGAGCTTTACCAGGGAAAAAATCATTATTGAAGGATGGTTTCAGCATTGGCATTTGGCCTTTCTGGAGAGCTAACTACTAATTTTCAACACAATTGCCTTTTTAAAATTTGGTCAGGTATGTTTAGGGTAACAGGTACAATTTTTATTTCATACATAACAACAAATAAACAAACACCCTTGCCACAATGAGTAAGATAAAAGGATCAAATTCTTTCCTGATTTACCTAAAATGCCATGCATTGAGATTACAGAGGTTGTAAATCAGGGCGGATTAAGGCCCCAGACATGGTGCACATGACCAGTCTACATCATACTGTGTTATCATTTTCATAACTGAGATAGACATGAGGAGAAACTTAGAATGAAGGGGGAACCTGTGTTAAAAACAGAATTTGCTGGTCAGAGCAAAGGCTGTATTTGCTGTAAGAATGGACTACTTGTCCCCATGTCCTGTAATGCTCTCAAACAAGTGTATTACTCGTAATTTCCTTTTTTGTAGCAAGAGAAAGCTGATATGAGAATGCTGGTCTCTAATTGGAA